GGTCGCTCAAAACCCAAGTACAGGAGATTGCGGGCCTCACTTTGCCAATAGACGACTGAATTCCCCTGGATGTTGAACCGTTTGTTGAGTGAGAATGACGTCCTCCTCAACATTCCCTATTCCATATTCTTCAATAATTACATCGTTCCACTTGTTGTAATCGTAATCTTCGCCACTGCCTTCACTACCGTCTATAGTAGGATCGAGGGTACTTCCCCCCATAGATCCATCATCACCTTGATAATCATCATACCCAGCACCATCTTCGTTGTCCTCCTCCTCTTCTTCATCCTCATCTGTTTTATCGTCTTCAACGTCGTTTTGCTCATCTACGGCCTCATTATTTCCATCTACATTTGAAGCCGCTACGATGGGATTTGGTGTCGTTGCACTCCCACACACACGATAACTCTCACCATCGGTCCTAGGGACAGTATTCCCGAGTGCCTTGACGGTTGTAATGAAAGAGACAAACAAGGTGACACTAGGATCCCCACCACGAATCAAAAAGAAGGTATCCAGGCTCATTTGATTGTCAATGTAGACAGGAGTGCGTTTACTTTCGATCATCACTGACATCTTTCCCGGCATCCAGTACAAATTCCGTGTACGTCATGTTTTGCCTAACACGTACACAACGACCAAACCAGCCTTCCCATGGTTCAAATTTCCATTCATCTTCTTTGCATCTCCACTCATCCACCATAGTAAATACGGGAATATCCATTACCTACCTGCATCATAAATTCAGCAGAACCCCATTAAATGCAAATGAAAGCATGATTATATCTACAAAAAACAAAAAGAATTCCCAACTACACACTTATAAACATAAATCTATCCTCATTTATCAATTTGAACTTAAAAAATTGGAAATAAAAATATTCTGGGTTTTTATATAAAAACAATGTTGATTTCGAACACAATCAAGACCCTACTGTGTTAAAACAAAAAACTTCTTAACCAATTTCATTACTTACACGATCAATGCTTGTCTTGGCTCCAAACTTTGAAAATCAAGAAGATCAAAACTTCTCCAGAATCACATTCGTTCAGAATAATTTGTTTGTTTGATGGATCATGTTTGTCTCTTACAACTATTCACACATATAAACTAATATTAGAAAAAGTAATGATGACTTTTGCATTAATTATGACATGAGTCATGTCTAAATTTTTTTGGCATTAAATCCTGATGTCTCATTGTTTTTTAATGTTATTAATCCCCATTTGTCACTGTACTCCCGCAGAAATCAATTAAGAACGAAATATATTGCTTAACCGGAACAGTGTACGTAACTGAACCACTTAACTGAACCGTACAGTGAACAGTACATCGTTACGCTGGTAGGGGTAAAATGGTCAGATTTTGGCTAAATTGTCAAAACTTGAAAGCCAATTCTCACTTTGCCAAAACATGAAATTAAAACTTGGTCTTATGCCCTGCCATGCAATTTACCCTTGATTAAATTACAGCGTTTGGATTGGAGTGGTTTACGTGCAATATGTGATTATGTGTGGCTTATAATAAAGACATACGTGTGGGAAATAGGGGAAGGACCGAAGACTTTTCTTGCTGCCACAACTGGATAGGGTTTTTTTTTTACATATCATTGACATACCATGAGTTAGTTGTTTTCTAACTGTTTATTGCAGCATGATCTGTCCGAGTTGAAGATTCAGGAAGTGACCACTTTAACTAAGGAAGATGTTGATCCTTTGAGTGAAAGACTCAACAACAAAAATGCAATTCATTTACATAAGGTACCATGGCAAGCCTCAGGAAGGTAACCTTGTTGATTGCATAGCTAGTTAGAAGAACCTTTGGCGAACGCAAGTGTAAGGTATACTGCAGTCTCGAGAGTAGGATTTAGAACGCGTAAAGTCTCAGTTAGCCACTCCACGGAAATGTAATTGAAATAGAAATTCAGAAATGGTTAAGGGAAGAGAACAATGGAGGCGAGACTAATCTATTTCCTTAACTCTTTGAATCACCCGTAGTGCGACGGGACTCTGTGATTCAGGAGTCCCAGGATACAACCACTCTAAACTGTTTTCGCAACTACTCGAAACACAACTCTAACGAACTAATGTACTACGATACTCTCGAAACACTTACTTAAAAACAGAGATATTGCTGGAGCTAAAATCCGACCAGTCATCTACCGGAGCTCCAACTTGAGCTCAGCCAATGAATTTTTATCACTTATGCCACTTTTTGGCAAAAAATGATCTGGCCTGCCACCCAATAATCTACATGCCATCGAAAATATGAAGTACCGAAATTACCCTTAATGAATAAAGAAGAAGAAATAGAAAAAATTAAAAAAAAAAAGAAAACAAAATCGTTTTTTGTCTCTCTTCTCTCCTCCCCGACCCCGACGCTTTTCTTCCTCCTCCGCCGCTCCCGGCGATCTGCAACTACGGCTCAACAGGCGCCTCTTCCTTCTCGAAATCGGTTAGTTTCTTCTCACATATCCTCTTGACATTGCTCCATTGTTTTGTTTTTAGGTATTTCATGAGTATTCTGGAATTTTTTAAAATTAGGGATTTCAAATGAAAATTGGGTTTTATTTGGATTAGCGAATGTATATTGGCGAATGGAGATATTTGCATTGGTAATTAAACGAATGTAGCTCGTCCATTGTTGAATCTAGTCACATCTTATGTAGAATCAAGTCAGATCTCAGTCAACTGGTATAGCTAACAGAAAGTTATTCAACTGGTACAAATAAGTCAAATTATTCAACTGGTACAACTGATAGACTATAGGCCAACTAGTACAAATGATAGTATGTAGGTCAACTGGTACAAATAGTACAACTGTGACAAATGGTGTAGATAATTATGTTTTAAATTGTTGTATTTTCAGGAGGCGATGAAGAAGAAGAGCCACACTAACGTACATTTTGACTATGGAGGGTACTATTCAGAAGAGAATGAGTGGATTTTTAAAAATTTACTATACGCTATATCGTTTGAGTTCATGGTTCAAATGGTGTATGTGCTGTTTTTAATTATTATATTTTCAAGATAGTACCCTCCATAGTCAACTGGTACAACTGATAGTATGTAGGCCAACTGGTACAACGGATAGTATGTAGGCCAACTGGTACAACTAGTATAACTGTGAAAAATGGTGTAGATTTGTGCTGTTTTTAAATGTATTATTTTCAGGATAGTACCCTCCATAGTCAACTGGTACAACTGTTAGAGTATAGGCCAACTGGTACAAATAATAGACTGTAGGCCAACTGGTACAACTAGTATAAGTGTACCAGTGGTAATTATGTTTTAAATTGTTGTAATTTCAGGAGGCGATGAAGAAGAAGAGCCAGACTAACGTACATTTTGACTATGGAGGGTACTATTCAGAAGGGAATGAATGGATTTTTAAAAGCCCGAGCATCCAGAAGCCCGAGCATCCAGAAGCAACTTGACTAATTCTCTAGTTCAACCGGTACAACTGTTTTACCACTTGGGTTCAACTAGAACAACTGAACCATTTGGGTTCAACCGGAACAACTTAAACAACTTTGTATTTTCATTTGTAAGACTAATAATACTTTGTAATATATGGATTATTGTTTGTAAGACTAGTTTGTAATATAAACTATTTTTATACTTTGCAGTATGAGTAAGATTGGTTTCTGGGTTCAGCCGGTACAACTAGGAACAACTAATACTACAAAAACATAAAATTACATAAATTAAACCATAATAAGTGATTTTAAACATTTTAAAACTCTGAAAGTACATTTAATATTTTTAATATATGATATTTAACATTATCAATAATTAATGTTTACATAAACTTGTTTTACACATATCACTCATTAGGTAACAAGCAACATTTAGTTCAAGATCATCTATAAAGATGGAATAAGTATGGAAACTATGTAGTCTTACAAATTATTCTATAAAAACTTCTTAAAAACCAATATAATTTGGAAATTGATGGGAACAACTAGAAAATTAAGGTTATTTTTAAGGTTCAACTACAAAATTACAAAATTTGAAATAGTTCAACTGTGAGCAAATCAGGACAACTGAACATCTAAAGACAACTATGTAGAAAATCTAATTGTCAAGGGTCCCACATAAATGTGTTCACAGTAGTCTTTGACTAGCTTTTGACTCAAACCGGGCCTACCCTGTGATGATTTTTGGAAATAAGTTTCTCTCTCTCTCTCTCTCTCTCTCTCTCTCTCTCTCTCTCTCTCTCTCTCTCTCTCTCTCACATCTCGCTTCTCTCTTCTTCTTTCTTTTCTTCGTCTTCTCTCTTCTTCTTCCTTTGAAAATGAGAAACCCAAAAATTAGGGTTTTCAGATTTCTTCAAATTTTACAAAATCTGGGTAATTCTCTCACATCTCGCTTCTATCTTCTTCGTCTTCTCTCTTCTTCTTCTTCCTTTGAAAACGAGAAATCCAAAAATTAGGGTTTTCAGATTTCTTCAAATTTTGCAAAATCTGGGTTATCTCGCCGTTAAGGTTTAATTGCTTTAAGTTTGATCTGGGTTAATTGCTCAAAATCTGGGTTATCTCGCCGTTTTAACCTCTTTTGAATATGCGAGGGATGGAAATCCTGCTTTGGAGTCGATCCGAGAAATTCTTCGTCTTATGCGTGAAGAAATTGATGATCTTAAAGAGAGGTTAGCCACAAAAGAAGTCGAGATTGCGAGGCTTAAGGGTTACTTTCAAGGTGGTAATATTGTATGATTACCACCTAGTCTTTGTAATATTTGAATTTGTATTTTGGATATGGATTTGTGTTTTTGGAATATGGATTTGTGTTTTCATGAAGTCTTATTAGTATTTGTACCTGCCGTAATGGTAGTTGTACTTGGTTCAACCGGTACAACTTCGACTTATATGTAGTTGTCCTTGATTTATCATATAGTTGTCCCTGTATTATTAGTAGTTGTCCTTGGTTTATCACATAGTTGTCCCTGGATTATTAGTAGTTGTCCCTGGATCAACCGGAACAACTAAATTTTAAATTTAGTACTCACTCCAACAACTACATGAGTACCAAGAAGAAGGAACCTCACGTTTCACTTCATCACGTAGAGTCAATTGCTTCCTAACAATCTCAACACGTATATACAAGCTAATGAACCAATAAGCTAAATTCTTCACAGAGCTCGCATCTTTAGGCCAACATTTACTAAACGCAAACATATTATTAAACATCCCCGACGGAATCTTCCCGGAGAGACACATATCTTGATTAAACTTCTCCGACATCTACACAAAAATCAAACTCAAAATTAGGGTTTCTACAAACAGGAACACGAACCAGTGATGATTAGATTTTACTAAACCTGATTAAAAGAGAGTATATCGGAGCGTAATCGAGTACGTTTGCCTTTATCGCACTTAATCGAGCTCGAGACGTTGTTAACGACGATCCCACCGGGGAAGACTAAGTCACGGTTCCGGGTCGGGACGATTTCGACTAACCTGGAACCGTCTGGTGTAGTTTTACAAGCGGAGAAACGAACATCGGAGCAGAGATAGTAACCTAATCCGATCACTGAGACGGCTTTCTTGGCGGCGGATTGAGCATCGAGGCGGGTGAAATTGTTATAGGCCATGGATCCGAGAGAGAGATGATGGTGAAAGAAAGGGAAGAGGAAAATTCAAAAGATTGTGGCTTTGTGTGGTGAAGAAGAAGAAGAAGACGAGCGCGAAGCCATTGAAGTGGTCAACGGTGTATGGCTAGGAAAGAAAACATTTAGTCAACACGTAATTACTTTGACTTTACGGCTTTATGTTTGAATTTCGGATATGAAATTATATAGTGTGAATATGAATATTAAACCGGAGGAGACGAAGATGCAAACGGAGACGGAGGAGACGAAGACGAACTCGGAGGAGACGAGACGCGGAGGAAACGAAAGGCGGATAAGACGCAGACGGTCCGAGGCAACACGAAGACGCCGGAGACGACGAAAACGGACGGTCTGAAGCGATCCCGATGAGAAGCGACGGAGAGAAGTGACGGAGATTCGAGAACTCGACTCTTCTTCTTCCGATTTACAGTTTCTCGATTTATACTTAGATTATTTTTGTGTTTTTCAGATTTAGGGTAAAATTTGAAGATTTTTTATGGGTCGGATTATTTTTCATGGGCTTGGATCGGATTATTAAGGTTGGGTCGTAGTTTTTAGAATTTGGTTTGGTTTTTATGTCTTTTACTCAATTTTACAAATTAAAATAAATTCAAAAATAAAAACAAAACATAACAGTGGCATAAGAGGTTAGCATTTCTCGATCAGTGGCACAAGAGGTGAACTCTCTCAGCCAATCCATTATTGCCCATTTCACATTGACAATGACACTATTCGATTTAAGTAAGCCCATTAGCTTCAGTAAAAAATCAACCCAACATAAAGTATACCAAAAATAGGGTAAGAATCAGAGTCTGCCACTTGCGGGTAGGCATCGTTTAGACGTTGGTAAGGCTCCTGCCTATAAAGAGATATGTGAAGGATGATTTTTTGTTTATTACCTGTTATGTATAAGTCAATTAATGGGATGTATATAAACTAAACCAAATGTAAATGTAAAGCCAAAATGTAAATGTAAACCAACATTTACAAGTTTGACTATAAACACGATTTCTATTCAGCGATTTAATATTAAATATCTTATTTTGTTATTTAAACTCCAATAATCATTGTTTCTTGGGTGATATTCTTTCTGAAAAGAATAACAAAATAAAGATAATAAAATACTATTATACATACAAAAATTGAGGATTCAATCCAGTTTTATACAAAGAATAATATGCTGATTGAAAAAAAAAAAAATTAGCCCAATTCAAAAAGAAATAAAGAAAAAATATTCATCAATATTTTTGAAAACAAAAATACGAAAAAAGAAAAGATATAAACTAAATCCAATTTAAATCGGAATAGACTAATTAATTCATCATGGAGTCTTCCTTCCAAATTATTTACAAGGGGAGTCAAAAGTCCTTGAAGTTCACGTACGAAGACTTGTCAAAAGACATAAATAAAACGGACAATGAAACTATTCACTTATTAAGCTTGGCCGTCAAGGTAGATTCACTTTCCAAAAAAGAGACGTGTACAAATAAGATTCAGTTACTTCCTTTGCCATCCTCTTATATATATACCCATTATCTGACATGTATAGTAGCTCAAATTAACTTAAAAACTCACACTTAAGATTTAAAACTCCAAAGATGTCTCTTTTCACATCTTTCTTCGCTTGTTTTGTCCCAAAATCTAAATCACGGGTTAACACAACCGATAGTAACTTGGAAGTCTTGTCCTTGAAGAAACCGAAAAGCAAAACCGACTCCCCAAGAACTCCCACGATCGTCGTATCTTATTTTCCAGTAGGCTCCAATCTTTCCCGTCTGTAGAAAATACGAAGATGAAAGTTAGATTTGGTAATGTGAGAAGGCAGTGACACGACCAAGAAAAGATATGAGGCTGATACTATTGATCCACTCCAATTTTATTAATGTCCCGTCTTTTTGTTTCATTATGTAATAGACCAATTAGAGAATCTGTTTGTGGTCGACACTTTTTATATTGATTTTTGTTTGGTGTAATTATGTATATACTGAATCTACATATACATTTTTGCTGGGTTTTTTTTGCTTTTAATCATTTGGATCCGGGTTTTACCTGGTTTTAATCTATTCGGATAGTAGATAAGACATTTAAGGAAATTTGTAATAAAAAAACGAAATTATCTCTTTAATTACACATATTTTCTATTTCCTTAACTTCTTCCCACATTAATTGGTTTTATTCCTCATTATCTCTAGATGATTTTCAAATATTTATGCCATCTAAACTAATTACTTCCATTAATCGTTAATACTCCCTCCGTTTCATAAAGAGTGTCATTTTGACACATTTCACACAAATTAAGAAAACATTGAATTATACATATATGCTCCTATTTAATAAGTAATTAATGATTTAAATTCAATAAAAAATATCTTTAAGTGAAGGGTAAATCAGAAAATTCTGTGTAAAAGTCACATTGAAAATGTAGAATGACACTTTTTGTGAAACAAAAATCAAACTTTAGAATAACACTCTTTGTGAAACAGAAGGAGTATATCTTTTGGCAAGATTTCCCTACAAAAAAAAAACAAATTAACAATTACGTTTTGATTTTGTTTAGATTTGTAAACTAACAACAAGCATATTCTCAAGATATTCGAATATCAGAATGTTGCCTAAAACCAAAACATCTAGAACATTCTAACGTAAATGTGTTAACAAGAATATTGTTTTTGTTATATAATGATTTCGCAATCTTTCCTTAAACATGTGTGAATCATTCTAATTTTTGATTCGTATATATGATTTTTCTGTTTGCTCTCCAAGATATTCTGAAACCTAAGCCAAAACCTTAGACTAATCTTTTCTATAAATAACCATCTCCTACCCAACAATTACCACAACCACAGTTTTCCTCATTGTTCTTACGGTATTGTTCTTACGGTAAAATCAGTACGTGGGAGGAATTACTTAGATTTGATGATGTGTACAATGTCTCGAGTTGTGTGTGTGTGGATTGGTAGATTCTCTGATAGTTTTTCCCCTTTCCTCTTGGCTTATTTGTTTTATAGGTGTCTTCTTTGTATTATACAAGTACGTGCTGATGGGCGGTGGAATCTATCCAGGTACGGAAGGAAAGCTACGATTAGGGAGTTTTACGGTAAGACTAATAAGCCCTTTTGATGCCATTGTTTTTTTTTTGGGAAAAGAGATTCGGAGCATACCAAACTCATCTAACAGGTTGGAGAAAGCAGACCATTCATCAGGTGACTGTACCATCGAGACTAACTTTGAACAATCTGTTTCAAACGCCTGGCAATCAATCCTTCTTGAAAGGATATTCTTTATAGCCCAAATTAATGCTTCCATCTCCGAGTGAAAGGGGGAGGAGGACTTCCTAAGGCACTTTGCACCAATCAATATCGTCTGAGCACTCCCTTGAAAACACCACCATCCTTAGCACCAATCAGTATTGTCAAAGCTTTTTTTGGGTAAAAATCGTTTATTTTACTTAACCACGCATGCAAAAAGGAAAATTACAATTTTTTTTAATGTGTTATTATTAGTCAGTAAAATTTGGCATGTATTAGTCAATAAATTTTGAAAAAGTAATGAGTTTATAAGAATAATTTTTTTATTATTTGATGATAATATTATTAAAGTTATACTTATTTTTTATTCTAAAATTTGAAAGAACCTTTAACCAAAAAAAAATTAAAAAAATTGAAAGAAGTGAAAACACAATATTTGGAAAAATGGCATATAGGAATTAATTTTCGATTACTTGATGACATTGTTAATATACTTTTATTTATATTTTATTTATTAATTTTATGTCAATTAATAGAGAAATTGCTAAAAATATCCCTTTTGGTGTGCTCCTTTTCAAAAATACCCCTTTTAGATGTCCATTTTAAAAAATGCCCCTTTTTAAATCTGAAATTTTTATAAAGTTTTATTAGGTTTATAAGGTACTTATGGATTGTAACTACTACTTGAAGACTCGATCCAAGTATTTATAAGGTTTTATAAGGTGTTTTTAAAGGTTTTACAAGTTATTTTAAAGGATTTTTAAGGTTTTTCAAAGGTTTTACAAGATATTTTAAAGGTTTTTAAAGGTATTTAAAAAGCATTTATAAGGTATTTATAAAGTATTTATAAGATTTTAGATACATAGAAATGTAGTTTGTGTATGTTTTAATAATATTACATACATATTTGGGTAAATCTTATATTTTTAAGAGCATTTTTTATAAGGTTTTTAAAAAGGTGTATTTTTAAAAAGTGGCATTGAAAAAGTGACATTTTTGCAAAAGCCCCCAATTAATATTAGTTTGACATGAGGTTAATTTAAATTATGAGATTAAAACATATATATAAATATTTTAAATTCCAAAAAGATTTGTGGATTTTTACTTTTTTTAATTATGTTTGATATTTGTTATTTATTTTAAAATTATCTTTAATTATTTTTTTTGTTTGGTTAAATTCAAATTAATATAAAATTTTAAAACCCGCACATCGTACGGGTTCTAATCTAGTAATTACATATTTAACTAAAAATGATTGTTAGCTAAACAATTATTTCTTATGGATGTAAATATATTTAATTACATTTTTCTTGATTTATTCTTTTTTGGTATGACATTTTTCTTGATTTAAAATATAACTATACAAAATTTTAAAAATAAATAAAAATAAAGTGAAAATTGTCGCAGCAGCGACGTAATGAACACAGAAACATGCGGCAGCGGCGGCAACATCAAAACGAACACAAAACCTGCGGCAGCGGTTGCGGCAGCGTCGACGGCGACTAAACGAACAACAACTTGCGGTAGTATTTGCCGCCGCTGCCGCCTACGGCGACGAAACGAACAAACTAATTATAGGATTCCAAAGAGTTTATGGCTTCCAAAACAAATATTGTATGTCCAAAGCCTATGATATAGGGCCTGATTGGTAACAGCTGTAGCTTTACATTTTTTGATGTAGAAATATGACTGTAGGTTTATTTGCTGTGGCTGTAGATTTTATTGCTGTAGTATTTTGGCTGTAGAATTTAAAATTTTGGAAAGTTGAAAATTATGTGCTTTAGGAAAAAAGGCGTTCTACAGCCAAAAAAATGAATTAAGAAAATATTTTGGCTGTGAGAAAAAAAAGGAAAGCCAAAGCTTCTAAAGCTTGATTGGATGTATTTCAAATCTTTAGAAATTTGTTTGCTTTGTAAAGACTCTAAAGCATTTGCCAATCAGGCCCATAGTTGAATGGCCTTTCTTAAAACCGGAGATCATCAGCCTTTATGTCCAAATTCGTAAAATATGTGTTTGAGTCTTCGAGAGGAGTACACGACCGGAGATAATCAACCTTTATGTATCTCCAAGTCTTAACGTAGACGGCTCAGAAAAAATTTAACTTAAATAAAATAAAAGAAAATTTTTAAGAATTTATTTTAAACCTTAAAAAAAAACACAAATATCGACTAGACATTATAAATTAAAATCCCTAAAATTTTATTCTTCTTTTTTGGCAAATAATTTTTTTTTGTTAATTTCAATAGAATGTAAGTCCAATATTTTTAGTTATATGTACAGAAATATATATATTTTTTCTTTTTCTTTTTTTGAGCATGTGCCAATGTTAAAATTGTATATTTGATGTATTTTTTAGATTTTAGTAAAATTAATTGGTTGATTGAAATTAAATACTCAATATTTTCCATTACAAAAAATAGAAAGTATTAATGAAGTATATAAAAAATTAAAATATGAAATTGTGTTTATATGTTGTTTGATAGGCTATTCTTTGCTATTTCTAAGTTAAGTACATAATAGAAAATGAATCATGATTTTGATTTATCATTATTTATCTAAGGTCAGTTTACAAAAGTCCATCATAAAATCTACATAATGGGAAGAAGTTAACAATTTGAAAGCGGCATTTTCTTTTCTATTTTCGTAGTATTATATCAATTAAATCTTATTTATTTCATAAATAACAAATAATCATTCATACATAATATCATCGAGTCGAGAAATTCTCACATCACATTACAAATTTGTTATCCTACAAAAACTCTCAAGTCTCCGTTACTGCTGAAAATAGTAATCATAAGGAATAAAAGAAATGTAAAAATATATAACAATGCTAATCGTAATAACTTTTTAAAAAGATTAAATGAAATTCAAAAATCATGTTGGACAGTAAGTAGGTAGTGTGTGAATAAGTTAATAATGCTAATCAAAATAAATTAACAAAAAAAAAGTAATATTACTTCAGTTATATATAAAATCCATGTTAGACATATAGTTAGACTCACACACAATAAAATCAAGTAAGAAGTTATCACCAAAAAAACAAAAAAAATCAAGTAAGAAGTTAAGAAAGCAAGTTAAAGGAGTATACAAGTTCAACATATAGCAAAGAAACAAACAAATACATAAAGCAAATAAACAAGCCACATCAGAGAAGCAAGAAATGAACTAAACAGAGAAGTCAACGATGCAAAGAAGCAAGCAATGTGCACTAAACAAAGAAGCAAAGAACAAGTAATGCCTTAAGTAGATGTATTAATAGAAGCAAATAAGATAGAAAGTAAACAAGTTAAGCAGGTAAGAAAGCAATCAAAGAAAGAATTAAGTAAGTAATGAAAAAGTAAAAGAAGGAAAGAATAAACAACTTAACAAATTAATCAATTATGCAACGAAGCAATAAACAAAGCAAATATTCAAAGAAGCATATATGCATGAATGTGTTTGCATGAAAATATGTATGTATATGTGTATGCATGAAATATGTTCAGAGATTCAAGAGATAGACCGAGCTCACACTATCGAAGGAAATCAAGGAATTGATGTTAAAGTATTTGGGTGTCAAATACTTTACCGTCGATAGCGTAATCTGGTAGTCGTACCTATGTAGAACTTTTTGTTTATGCGTTAGGCACATTGGCTTTGAAATATGTACTGCATAACAACAAAAGGGACGATAATTTAAACTATTAGAGACAAATTGAAGACTAAATAAATAAAAAAGAGATTGAAGACAAACCTGGAAAGAAGATTTAAACTTAAGAAACTAGAGGATCTATAGAGGTTGTCTACCAAACATTTTGATCTGCAAAATATGGGAATACATTATGTGCCTATGATTCGAGAACATATCAAAAGCATAGGTTTCAGTCTTTTTCTGTTGAATTACCTTCCACAGATTGATTTCCTGCTCCAAATCTTGACTTTTCTCTATAACTTCAACTGTCTTGTTGTCAGAGCTACATAATGTGAGGATTTTTGGATTAAGAACACAAATATCAACTGTGCCGTATAATGAAAAGGCATATATGCTATCAACAGAGAACGAACCTGTTAGGTACCCATTGATTGAATACTTCAGATATTCATACTCCTTTGCAAGACCATAAATAGTAACTACAGGGACAACTACATTGTCAATCATCCAATCCTTGCAAAACCAAAAACAACAACCAAATCCTTAAAAAAAAAAAAAAAAAAAAAAAACTAAACGAAATCACACATAACAGTCATAGTAAGAAACAAAAAACACCTGCATAAACGTCGTAACAGATTGATTGCTCTTATTGAAATCAAGTATGGATACTCTTGAACCTGAAAAACAACAAGATACAGCTAGTTAGTTCCAAAGATTTTAAGATACCTTGTCTTGTTCGTATCTTTTTTCTTATGCAAGAAAAGTGTGTTGGTATTATTGACTAACTAAGCTCAAAATATATTCCAACTATATTTTTGGCTAAAGGCACGTGAGGTAAGTTACTAACCTTAATAAAATTGTCGGTTTTCTCTTTCTTGAGAAGTTGGAGAGCTTGTTTATCCTCTTCTTCTACCTTCTTCCTTTTAAATCCTCCATATATCTCCTTGTTCTTCTTCCCCATATAACACAAGTTTAATAAAATATTCACACAAAGTAAGAATATAGTTTTCTTTACTTTTCATTTCTTCACACAATTGATATAGAACAAGACCTTTTCTTAGGGAGCCTTTTGTTCCACAAACAAGTTCTTACACTCTTCTCCGGTCATCTTCACAACTTTAGCTTCAAGATTTCAAATAACAATAGAGAATACAATAATTGTCACCTAGCTTAAAAATGTTGTTATTTTCTAGTGAGCAGCACTCCTTTCATTTGCATAGTTTAGGGAGGTAGATATGGGTTGTTTAGGCTTCAAGGGATCCTTTAGCAACCTGAAAATCAACAATGCTGTCAGTTTTCTTTCTTCTTATTACTATTAAAAAAATTCTTCGAATGAAAAAGATACATGTATTAGAGATTGATGTGGAAGTGAAGCCGTTCCCATGATCTGTGCCAGGAAATTTCCTTAAGGTGTACATACACTCCGTAAGAGTTAACTTCGGAAGAGCAAAGGAGCATTATAAGTCTGAAAGAAGGAGAAATAGCCAATGTCTCTGCTCTACTTCTGTTTCTCGTCAAAAGAAATACATAATGCAAGATAGACCTATTGACGATATTCAAGGGAACTTTTCCTCAAGAGATGGATCCCATGGTCTGGGAAATGTGGTCTCATAAGAGAAAATCTGTAAAGTGTAAGAAAGCTTGATCATAAAAAAATAAAAGTCAGCTCTTAAAATATCGTACTTACTAGTTATGGACTAAAAGAATTCCCTAGAGATGTAATAGTACGCAGCTGCTAATGCTCCTTTGGAAAAATAGAAATCATGGGCTCTAGATCAATGGTTAAATTTCTTGCAAAACGCTATCCATTTCCTTGCAAACTCAGCTGTTTCAAAAAAGGATTAAAAGTTAGCATGATTGAACTTATCCACTGGGTTAGTCCACAAAAGAACTGAGAGAACCTTGATTGTTGTTACAATAGGAGGCTCTTTTTCCCACCGTACTAACAAAAACATCACGAGAGCTAGCTATGATGGTTCACCATCTTGATCATACCTACAACAAAGGGCATATCTCACCAATATCTAAGGTCAACCACAGGGCCTCTACATCTTTAACTGGATAAGTTGTATGATAAAGTAAGAAGACTCACAAAATGATGAGTTGGAGGACTCTCAATACGATAAGATGTCATGCGAGAGGATGGGAAAGGGACCACAAAAATCATATGAAGCCGAGCATCACCAACCCTATAAATAGAAGATCCATCAACAACCATAAGAAAATTGTGATTAGGACATATTCTACAGTGTGGTGCTGAAGCCTTCCCTCGTCTATGGTATGTCATTGAAGTTAAAGCCTCTGCAATCAAATGGCATTGAACTGTCTAGAAAATCGTCTAAGTAAACCAATCTACCATTCTCTGGTCTCTGAGATATGTCACCTAAGACTATAAAATCTGTTGTTGCAAAAGAAAAGAGACACAACATAAAACAGTAGAAACAAACTCAAAAGACCAAGAATAAGAAGAAGAAGAGGATTGATGAGAACATACCTTGAATAACTAAAAGAAAGACAAAAACTGACTTGACAAAGTTTGGTTCGAATCTGATAGGTCCATGACATGTCCACCGCCTGAATGATTTCTGAAAGCTTTGTGATCAACTTAGTATAAGAAACCTGAAAGAAAGATTAATAATCAGTATCTCAAACTTTACTAAATTCTGTTTTATTTCTTATGGTGACGAAATTACTTATCTTTCCAAAAGCTTTGTGATCAACTTAGTAGCTTCCTTGGTACAACTAAAAACCAAAATTCCCAATGAACAAATGATCTTGGAAAAAAAAGAAAAATTGGATGGGTAACTTTCGGCGAGAAAGAAGCACAAAATTGTACCTTTTCGTCATGGTAATTAGACATTTACTTATCGGAGGATGCATCCTTGAACTTTCCAAAGAAGCGAGAGTAGCGGAAATTTAGTATCAACAAAATTACAACTACGATCCCTTATTTAGTATCTCCCACTCACCTCTTTAACACCCTCTCCCTCTGTCGACTTCAAGGAAAATAACTTTTGTTCCATTTCCTCCATCTGCTCGCATGGCTGTTAAATGACTAACGAAACAAATTCTGGTAAATCAAAAATAAGGGATGAATGATTTCCCTGTCTTTTTAAGAAGTAGTATCTTCTGTTCTGTCCCCGGCTTATTGAAGCTCTACCACATGTCTGACGCTCAAACAAAAAAGTATCAGATGGTCGAACAAAGTTACTGGAAACCATATATAGAAGCATGCGCTGTTTAAGTGTCACTCAAGCTTTTATCGAAAAAAGTCGTTCCCATATTTCTCCTGCTAAACTCATCCTGCAACGAGGCATATAAATGATTATAAAAGATTGTGTGGAAAGAAATATATTGCAGAAAATATGGAGAGGAGCATAAACTTAGAAAGACCAACCTTAAAATATGGAGAGGAGCATGTCAAGCCAAGTCTTCCTGTTAACGGGATATCATTTTGGAAACTGATCAAGAAGCCAAGAAAAGGCAAACAAAAATATCTGAGATCAACCACAGGGCATTAGCATCTTAAACTGGATAAGTAGTATGATAAAATAAGAAGACTCACAAAAGGATGAGTTGGAGAACTAACTATCACAATACGATAAGATGTCATGCGAGAGGATGGGAAAGGAATCACAACAATCATATGAAGCCGAGTATCACCAACCTTGTAAGTACAAGATCCATCAACAACCATAAGAAAATTGTGATTAGGACATATTCTACAGTGTGGTGCTGAAGCCTTCCCTCGTCTATGATATGTCATTGAAGTTAAAGCCTCTGCAATCAAATGGCATTGAACTGTCTAGAAAATCTTGGCTTTGGCCATATCACAGCCGGAGGAATGGACGAGATAAGAGTCTTTACACAAGAGATTTGTATTTGAGAGAAGGAAATTTCCACTTCTGTTTATCATGTTGTTCTTGAGAATTGCACTCTTCACTGGTTCTGACCAATAGTTGAGAAGGATAAACATTCAGTTTGTGATTCGTTAGTTTATTCAAAGTAAAAAAAAAAGGTAAAGAAGAAAAACTAACCTTTGCATTGTTTGCGCTTCAAAGGATCTACTTTTGATACTCTTCCACCAGTTTTAAAGGCTTCCACTTACTTCATGTATGCGTCCATCAAGTCCCAGCTCTTCCATTATAAATTTGCCTCTCTTCGTTCCTAAAAAGATTTTTACCCAACTAATCAATTTCACTAACAATGAATTAAATCTTAATTCTCTACTTTCCATTTTATTTGAATAAAATTAGGGCGGTAAGAGTTGAACTGTTGATCTCGTGATGCTTTTCTTGACAAACTCATTCTTGCGTTTTGCTACAAAATTGTATTCAAAACAGTTAGTTAGAAAATATTTGATATTGGATCTGATTTGTGAGTTTTCAATGTTTAAGTACCAGGATCGAAAGAATGATGAAACAAGGCTTTTTGGGTTCTTCATCTTTGTCTTTGCCGTCTCTTTCTTCTTCTGCAAGAAACACACTCAAGTAACGAAATTATCACATTTTATCATTATCATCACCAAATTATGTTTTCTTTTTTGCTGGTGACAATATTACTTATCTTTTCCGAGCCAAGCTAGTCTTTAAGGTGCTTGTAAATTCCAATTAAGCACACTCCAGAAGGCAACATAGTATAATAAACCTGAAAGAAAGAGCAATAGTCAGTATCTCAAACTTTACTTGAACTGTAATCATCATAATCATCATCAAATTCTTTTTTATTTTCAGATGGTGACGAAATTACTTATCTTTCCTGAGTCAGATTCAAAGCCAGGCTAGTCCTCCAGAAGGCAACAGAGTAAACAAAACAAAAAGAAAGAGCAATAGTCAATGTTCCGTCAAAGGAAATACATAATGCAAAGTATGCCTTAATCACTCAAAGGATAGATCCTCTCAACCTTATCACTTTTCCAGACTCTTATATAAGTTATCTTACCTTAGTAGCTTGCCGTATGACCGTCTTGTTATATAATTACTTGATTCAAGAAGATTTGAGTGTAATCTGCGAAAACGGCAAAGAAAATACTTTGAATTTATTTTAGTCCAATGCAAGACCTGCAGAGAATGAATCATAATTCTATAAAGTCAATTTACCTAAAGATTTTGGCAATAGATTCTTAAATGTATTAAAGTCTAATAAGTTCTACCTCCAAGTACACGTACCGGCCATTGCTCTGTCCTTAAAACACTTTGTTAAACTCAACGCCAAGATCTGCAATTCTATTTCCTCCACCTGCCTACATGACAGTAAATGACAAGGATTTAGGTGATTTACGAAAGCATTTTCTAGTGAAACTGGATAAAGCAAAACCAACTGAGCAGTGAATGATTTGCTTATCTTTTTAGCCAGAAATCTCCTCTGTTTTGTCTACGCTTAATAAAGCTCTACAAGTTGTCTCGAGCTCAAAGACATCAAATGGCTATGACACTTCGTTACTAACACCATGATGGCCTCTTTATCGCACATCTATCCTTCTTCTTCTTTTCTTCTTCATTTTTGTGCCAAGCATTGACCGAAAGCAAAAATCTGAGGAGCAACATAAATGTTCTCAAACCAATCACCCAATACAATAAAATATATCAGATAAGTAGAGAAATGTAACAAAAGCATATAGAGACAGAAGCGATCATACAATTTGAGGTCATTAGCCCAAGTAAAAGAATAAGAAACATACATATAGCAAAACCAGATTTGATCAGATAAATACTTAGCTGAAAAGTGTTCTTTGACACAATTTGTTTAAACTCCAATGATGAGGTTTTCACAGCTTGACATGATGACGTGGTGACCAGAGAGAGTACTTCCAACTTTTCTCAGCAAAGCCGACTCCTCATGAAGCGTTGCAGTAAGGTTACCAAAGTTTTGCTGCCATATCAACAGCTTAATACAGTGTTAGTGGAACAGAGGTTCGGTGCACATCATTCAAGTTAGAAAGTTGAAATACGTTCTAAGTAGCTAGCTATGGTTCACCAATCCTAGCAAGTACTACATAGAGAACAGTCAAATCGTTTGACCTTCAGCCTGAATCAAGAAAAAAAATATAACCACCATCCCAAACAGGTCCACGGTGCTTTTGAATTGCCTAAAGGAGACCCTGCAAATAAATTTTGTCCAATACCTGCATAAGAGTAGAGCATCGTTAGTTCAGCTGATGGTAACATTTACATATCACATTGCTCTAAACACTCAAGAAACGAATATGTAAGTGACTTCCAAGATGTTTATGACAGATTCAGGCTTCTTCTGTCTAGCAGGTGTGGCTAGAACACATTCCATACAACAATTGTATTAGGCCAGAACGAAAGACTATCTGATCCTGGCATTTTCATCAGTAAGCTACTTTTGCAAAATCTCCTGAAAACGAGAAATAAGTAACGAGAATAAGCACCTCTAAAGGCTGCATTGGAATACACAAATGTACATCCAACAAGAGGTTATGCAATTAAAATAATTCGTTACCATGCATCAAATAAGGATCGGAATTGATTGCACATACACAGTAGAGGTTATTACAAGACAAGTTTTCAAGGTATATGTCAATTAGAAACACTGATGTCGCTAATGTGATGAAAAGAACACATACCTCAGAAACATACGGCTTGGTTTGAGGAGGCTTCCACTCCATCACATTAATCAAGCGATCAAACAGATTAAAATGTTTACGGGAATGATGTGAGACCTGTCCAACTTTTAACCATGAGTCTTTTTCTTAGTGTTATGAGCATCCTGCAAAGAACCCAAATATTGAGACATACTCTTAGTGAAACTTAGAACCCAGACTCAGCTATTAAGACATACTCTTAGTAAAACTTAGAACCCAAACTCAACATAGAAAAGACGCTACCCTTGAGAACAATATACTTCTGTTTCTCATTATAGCGTAAGTAAAGTAGATTTAAATAAATAAACAGAGATTTTGAAGAATCAAAACCTCAAAAAGGAATATAAACTAATTAAGCTGCAATACGTCTCTAGAACCTTTTCTGACTAATTAAGCTGGTGACGATATACCTTATCTTTTCTGAGCTTGAAAGCTATTCTTTTTCTCCAAGTCAGATTCAAAGCCAGGCTAGTCCTTAAGGTGCTTCTAAATTCCATATGACCATACTCCAGAAGGCAACATAGTATAATAAACCTGAAAGAAAGAGCAATAATCAGTATCTCAAACTAGACTAAATTCTGTTTTATTTCTTATGGTGACGAAATTACTTATCTTTCCTGAGCATGAGCTATTCCTGTTTCTCTAAGTCAGATTCAAAGCCACGCTAGTCCTCGAGAAGCCAACAGAGTAAATGAAAACTAAAAGAAAGAGCAATACATAATGCAAGATATGCCTAAAGATTATCTAAATTTTAGGGTCAGTATGTGTCCATCATTGCAATTTTGGGCAATATATTCTCAAATGTATTAAAGTCTAATAATATCTACCTCCAAGTACACGTACCAGCCAATTCAAAGTAGTCTTGTATTGGGTCCACTGCTCCATCCTTGTAACTCTCTCTTAAACTCAACGCTAAGAACTTCAATTCCATTTGCTCCATCTGCCTACATGATAGTTAAAAGACAAGGATTTAGGTGATTAACGAAAGCATATTCTGGTTAACCCGATAAAGCAAAACTAACTAAGTAATGAATGATTTGCTTATCTTTTTAGCCAGAAATCTCCTCTGTTCTGTCTTGGCTTATTAAGCTCTACCACTTATCACCACATACAATAGAATTTATCTGATATGTAGAGAAAATGTAACAAAAGCATATAGAGACAGAAGCGATCATACACTGCTCAATACTTCTTAGGTTCAACTCTATTAAATAGTCCAATATGAGGTCATTAGCCCAAGTAAAAGAATAAGAAACATACATATAGTAAAACCAGATTTGATCACATAAATACTTAGCTGAAAAGTGTTCTTTGACACAAATTGGTGTCTCTATAGGGCTCTTTTGAGTCCACACGCTTAAAGGTTCATACCTAATAACATGTCCAACTCAAACATGAAACCATAGCAGTTAGTTAATATAATTATTTTAGTCCAATGCAAAAGACCTTCAGAGAATGAACATAATTCTACAAAGTTAATTTACCTGAAGATTAGGGTCAGTTTGTGTCCATCGTTGCAATTTTTGGCAATAGATTCTCAGATGTATTCAAGTCTAATAAGATTTACCTCCAAGTACAAGTACCGGCCAATTCAAGGGTGTGTCTTAGTAGTCTTGTATTGGGTCCATTGCTCCGTCCTTAAAACTCTTTGTTAAACTCAACGCCAAGAACTGCAATTCTATTTCCTTTATCTGCCTACATGACAGTAAATGACAGGGATTTAGGTGATTTACGAAAGCATTTTCTGGTTAAACTGGATAAAGCGAAACAAACTGAGCAGTGAATGATTTGCTTATCTTTTTAGCCAGAAATCTCCTCTGTTCTGTTTTGGCTTATTAAGCTCTACCACTTATCACCACATACAATAGAATTTATCAGATATGTAGAGAAAATGTAACAAAAGCATAGAGAGACAGAAGCGATCATACACTGCTCAATACTTCTTAGGTTCAACTCTATTAAATAGTCCAATATGAGGTCATTAGCCCAAGTAAAAGAATAAGAAACATACATATAGTAAAACCAGATTTGATCAGATAAATACTTAGCTGAAAAGTGTTCTTTGACACAAATTGGTGTCCCTACAGGGATCTTTTGTGTCCACACGCTTAAAGGTTCATACCTAATAACATGTCCAACTCAAACATGAAACCATAGCAGTTAGTTAATATAAATCAGACTAAAGTAGAATTTTTATGGGAATTATACACACCACGCTATCTACACACAAATACTGAAATCAAGGGAAGACTAGAAAACAACCATAAAGAAAGTAAGAAAATTAAGCAAGGAACCAAGAAAGAAAATAAGGAAACAAGTAAGAAGATAATCAACAGATCAAGGAATCAAGGAAGCTAAGCAGACAACTCAGCTAGGAACGAGGAATAAAGGAAGAGAACAAGAAAAGCAAACATAGGAATGAAGCAAGCACACACACACACACATTGAACCAAGGAATGAAGCAAGCACACACACACACACATGGAACCAAGGAATGAAGCAAGCACACACACACACACGGAACCAAGGAAAAACGAAAATAAGTAAATAATGAAGGAAGATAGTATATTAAAAAACAATTTACCAAGGAACCGAATTAAAAAACAAAAAAAAAACAAAAGGAAGCAAGTATATTACGAATCATGGAACAAGTAATAAAGCACACAATTTACCAAGGAAGAAGAAATCAAGGAAGAAAAAGAGAGCAGATAACCAATGAAGGAAACAAACAAATGCATGTAACCAAAGAAAAAAGAAATAAATTAACAGAAAATTTAGAGGTATGTAATTAAGGAAGCACGCAACTAAGCCATGACTAAAAAAACTAAGTACGCAAGTAAGAAAGTAAGGAAGAAAGAAAGCAAGTAAGAAGGAAGTTAGCAAGTAAACAAGAAAGGAAACAAAGAATGAAGAGAGCAAGTAGGTAAACAAGGAAACATGGAAGTAAGATTGAATTGTATCATCAAGTATGCAAACCTATATATACCATTCTTTGGTTTTTGAGATATGTCACATAAGAGACTATGAAATCTGTTGCTGCAAAAGAAAAGAGACACAACATCAAACAGTAGAAACAAACTCAAAAGACCAAGAAGAAGAAGAAGAGGATTGATGAGAACATACCTTAAATAAATAAAAGAAAGACAAAAAACGACCTGAGAAAGTTTGGCTCGAATATGACAGGTCCATGTCCTGTCCACAGCGTGAATGATTTCTAAAAGCATTGTGATCAACTTAGTAGCTTCCTTGGTACAACTACAAACCAAAATTCCCAATGAACAAATGATCTTGGGAAAAAAATAAAATCATTTGGGTAACATTCGGCAAGAAAGAAGCACAAAATTGTACCTTTTTGTCATGGTGGTGATAAGACATGTACTTATCAGTCCTTGAGCCTTCCATAGAAGCGAGAGTAGCGGGAAATTAGGGTTTATCCCCCAACATCCGAATTACTTTATCCTGCACAGAATTTGAAGCCGATACATGAAAATTAGACGGATTCAATCAAAAATTCAAAACCCAAGTTTGCATAACATTAGGGTTTCCAAATAGCCATAGATTTTAGAAATCACCATGAATCAATTCCTATCTCGCTATGATTATGTGATATGACTAGAAACAATCAACAAATTACGATTACATATCCCTTATATATTAATCGTTAATCGGCACTAAAATAGACAAAAAGCGATTCAAAATCTTCAGAATATAGTCACGAAAAAGCGAAATTACAGAGATGAATCATACGAAGTTTGAGAGAAAGCCAAAAGAACTTGAATATTCTTCCGACTATATACTTATGACTATAGAAACGATCAACGAAATTACAACTACGATCCCTAATTTATCAATCAATTGTTATCAAACAAAACCCAAATCAAGAGATAAAAAGCGATTCAAAATCTTGGATTCAGATACGATAAATCACACGAAATTACAGAGACAATTCAGACGAAATTGGAGAGAAAACCAAAATATTCTTCCGAGAAATCCTTCATACAAAAAAAAAGCAAAAGAGAAATTGAATTTGAAACATACTATCATGAAGCGAGAGAAGATGTCCCAAGCGCTCTTCTTCGAGAATTCGAACGGCTATTTTTCCGTCGTCTTCCTTTCTTCGACTCTTTATATAATGATTCAATTTTATGCCGTTAAACTAAAATCATTGAAATCTGAAGATTTTGAAAAGTGAAAAGCCCAAAACGAGAAGGCCCATTCCAAGAATAAAAGTCCACGAGGACGATTGGTCTATACTTTTATTTTAACAAAGAAACTTAATTTTAAATATTATTATGCGAAAAGAATATTTTTAATAGTAAACCAAAAGGTACAATATATAAAAACAAACGGCTATGAAGAACTATGAAAT